CTCTCTCTCACACACACACACACACACACACACACACACACACACACACACTTCATCCCAACCTTAAATGACCACCGGCAGTTCCAAGTCCCACGCCTATCTGTGTTCATGCTGTTCCAGCTACCTGAAGTACTACTTTTCCTCCTTTTTGTCCATCTACCAGTTGCTTTGTCCATCATGACTTCGTTCAACTCTAAGTTCCTCGTTCTCACCACACCCCCACTTCCATCCCTGACCAGTGACCTTGTCCTTTCTCTCTGGCTCTACTGTACAGTATACAGAAGCCCAGGCTAGCAAGCACCCATGACCTTTCATTGTCCTTATTCATGAACCTACTTCTCTCCTCTATCAGTGCCTAATGTTGCGAAAAGTCAGGAATCTTACCAGGCTTTGTATCTCCAACAATTAGTCTAGTATTTGACACATAAAAATATTCACTTAATACATATGTATCTACTTTATCAGTTAGCTAAGTGCTCTGCTCTTTTCCTAGCCAACTTCTGCTCCTTTTGAACAGCACCCCTCTAGTGGTCTGCAGTGGTATTACCAGTGGTGCTGCTATATCTTCACACTTTAAAATAGCCAAAGTGAAAACCATTGGAGAGGCTAACCACTACCTGTTCTCAAATAAGTTTTGGCAGAGATGATGATACATTTTCACCAGAGCTGGACATAGATGGTTTAAAGTTGAAATTTAACCAGCTCAGTAGACCCAGCAAGAATATCTAGGGAGGCAGGAAAACCAGAGCTTAGCAACACTGGTGACAGGCAAGGGCAGGGACTGAGCAGGAAGACAGTTCTTCACACCTGTTTACTCCTGAGGGACTTCTTATGTGTCCCTCAGCATGTGACTAAGCCTCAGTGTTGTGCGGGAGAGAACACTTCCCCCAGCCCCTCTGGGTAGTTCTCGGAGTATCTAAATAATCAACATCAGACAGATTAATAGGGAAAATTTTAATTACAAATATACATAGGCATGAGAATTCCAAAGCTGGTATTGCAAAATGGAGCAAAACTATCCTGAGCTTAAAAAAATGGAATAGGGACCTGGAGCTTCAAGGAGAGAGGAAGGAGACTCACATAATTGGGAGGGGTGTCATATTAAGGAGATCAGATACTCTGTGATTCACCTCCAGATAGCTATCTAGGTAGATAGACATAAAGATAGTCACTTATAAAGGTTATTTCTGGTAGTAACTCTAGTTCTGGGTAAGACTCATAATTTACATTTTTATCAGTAGTTAAAAGAGTGGTGAAAATTTCTCTTGAGCCTGAAAACCTTAATTGAATTCAGCTCAAAATAATTCCCACGCCAACGTGGCATGTCTTGAGGGCCCTGTCTTTTCAGTGTCCTCAACACTATAAACAGAGGCCTGGTTAGGGTCATTCCCTGACCATGTTCTGTAAACACTGCCCTGCCAATACAAAAAGCTGGGCTCTGAGAAGTGTTTTATTTACGCCGGTAGTGAGAGGAAGATTGAACTACATTCACCTCTTTAAGATTTACAGTGACAGTAGTATATTAAAAACATGGAGTTCTCCAGTAAAATAACATGAATTTTCTTCAACTCAGCATTTTCCAAATTACTGGAGCTTAGAGCTAATTTTCTGGAATATTAATGTTAGTATCATGTTCAGAGTCCCTTTTTGGCAAATAGTAGACAAAATCTCCAACATCCAGTCCTCTCATTCATTTGTTCTTTCATTCATTCATTCACTCATTCATTGTGTGTCAAATCAAATTGTTGTCTCTTATATACCCTCTTGTTATTTTAGAATACTGATGTATCTATTTCTATAATAAAGTTCATTTTTTTTTAGAGCATTCTTTTTTTATTATTATTACATTAGCTACCCAGGGATATTTTGTTTTGTCCTTTCTCATTTTTCATGTCATGATCAGACTTTATTACCTGGTAATAAAATGAAAGAAATGAGAATTGAGTTGTTCTAAACAAATATCAATCATTTGCAATACGTTTAATAGAAATTATAATGAATAAAATCAGGGCTTTACTTATGATAAAGTCATTATATTCAATGTTGGCAAATCCCAAATTAATAGCAAGTGAATAAATCATTTGCAGTGCCAGAGACCAAATAAATAAAAATAGGATTGACCTTGTTAGAAATTTGAGATTTTTCAATGTTTATCTGTCAGAGCCACTGATTTAGAAATTGTTATAAATTCTTTAAAAATGAGAACATTTTTTTCCTGTAAAAATACCCATCATTTGGCAAACTACAGTGTCATTTTCCTTGAAGAGAATGTAGTGATTGATTATCCAGAGTGTTTCCATGACAAGGTAAACCAAGCAAATAGCTGGAAAATTGTGTGTAATCATATAGCATCACAGAAGCTCTGGTTGAGCACAGCCATTCGAATTAAACCACAGCTTTCTAATCATTCCCTGCAGGTTCTTCCTGTTTAGCCCAAAAGCTTTATCTCCAGGGGATATCACTGTGTGCCTACAGCCTCCCCTCCCCCTCTGACGACCATCAGCACCATCTTCATCATCCAAAAGCACTGGGGTGAAGACAGACCAAACTGTCTCTCCCAAAGGGATCTCAGCATTGCAAAGATGTCTTTGTCCAGCATCCCTACATGCATGTCATCTGAGAGGATTATCTGTGTCTGGTAGTGTTAGTAATGCTGTTTCTTTTATTGACAGTAGCACCCTAAAGAATTTGAGAAAGTGTAGCTAGCTAAGAGAAGTTTGAGAGATGGATAAAAGGAAAAGTAGAATACCATTCTCCCTTTGGAGAAGTTAATCACCTCATTAGGAAGACGTACGATGGTGTGTGTGTGTCCTGAAAACGAGAGTATTTCCTAAGTGTGAAAGACTCATGTGCTGATTGAACACCAACTTGGGTGATGAGGCTAGTAGAGGAGCAATCCTTGGTTATTTGAAGGCGAAATTAAGTGATAAGAAACGATGGCGCTACCCCAACCTGCCCCCAAGGTGAGGATCAATAGTGTCACTGAAAATAGAACTGGATTCTGCCTCTCAATAATCTGAGTAAATCTCCCTGTTCTTCTCTTCCCTGCAATGTTTGAGATTTTAAAGAGGCTTTGTTTGGATGGCGACGCCACTATTAATTGCCATCCACATGTTGTAGGATCTCCTGTATTGTGACGCCAAAGGAGGATTTTAGATTCTTCTTAGCAGCATGGGGACATGTAGCCAAGCAGAATCAATTCCTGTCACTCACCCACAAATACAGAGGAACGGGATTATGGATCAGGGTGAAGCTGCAGAGCTTTAATCTTAAAATCAATACGGAGAAGGAAGTTGAACTTGTGGGGATTCTATAGAGACTGTAATTTGGTTTCCTCTGTGGTTTGCCTTACAGAATATAACTGTTCCTTCCTTTTCACCTTTTGATTATTTCACTTGGGGGATGGAGGTGGGAGAGGAGAAGGAAAGAAAACTCTACGAGCAAATAATCTTGAGTTAGCATGCAATGAAAATTTGTAACACGGCAGATATGGCATTGTGTTGTGAAAAGATTTATACTTCTGTTCACTTTTCTGTTTTTGGAAGAAAAAAAATTAGCTATGACTCTTTATTGCATTTAAGCCTATTAAAATATCTTGGATTATTTCCCTGTCAGACTGGGGAAAAAAAAATTTTTTTTGATGTTTGTATGGCAAAGTCTAGCATAGCTTATGTAATTCTATATAAATTAATTCATATTCAACAAGCCAGTTATTGGCCAAAGGATTTCAAGCTTCTAGGCATGTAAATAACATTTATGCCAGTTCAATTCTCCTTCTGAAAAAGGCATGGACTGGTAGTTGAAACAGTTCATTCTTTTCTTATTCAAAGATTTAGAATTTATTAAATATGGCCCCTTTTCTTCTCTAACACTGATTTGCTCTATATTCTGTTTCTAGCTGTAAGATAAAATAGGCTTCTTAATTTCGTCCCTTAATTTTTTCAGTTCAGCTTTATAATATGTCCAAATATATATGGACTCTGTTTCTACAGTGGCAACAGTAAGAAATAACTTTTATCTCATGAAAAAATGATTGGGGTATGGATTGATGTAGCTCTAAGGGAGAATGACGTCATTCAGTGGGGAAAAACCTCCCCCCCACCCCCGCTTTCTATTTTATCTTTAAACTGGGAGTGGTTTTAGAAGTCAGCTGAGAGAAGGGAATGTTGAGAGCATGGAATGAGCTAAAGTGCTGTGTTTGTAAGAACCTAGTAAACATTCATGATAATCGTGATTATTTTGTGAGTTTCCAGCCTGGTGACATATACTATATATGCGTAAACATCCCATAAGCTGTCAGACACAATACAAGTGGTAGTTGTTATTCTCCACAGTTTGTCAGTCTTGAAATCTTTAAGCAAATCGTGAAAGATCTATTCTTTGTTCTGCATGTCCCTTGGTCTTTAATCTCAAAGTAAAGTCCTGGAGGTGATAAATCAGGCTGCATTTTCTTTCTTAAAAGCCACAGAGGTGGGGCCCACACTGGTGGAGTAGTGGGTAAGGATGCAGCACTGCAAGCTGGCCATAGCCACTTCAGTGCAAGTTTGATCCCTGGCCCCAGAGGTGACCCACATGGCATGGCAGACCTCTCCTGACCCACCTGTAGTTCCCCTCAGCAGTGCACTTCATCAGTCTGCCTGTCTTGTTCCCCACTCTGTCTTTGGTGAATCCTCTGACTGCCCCTGCACCTCTGACTTGTACCCCGGTTCTGTATGCATAAATAAATAAATTTAAAAAAAGAAGAAGAAGAAAAAGCCACAGAGATGTATCTGAATGCCAGAAATCCCTTGCAAGCAATTAAAAAATCCCACAGAGAACACTCTCTTAGGTCTCCAGAAGACTAGCACCATGTAAGATACTGTGTGTGTAATCAGTGTCTTTAAATGTCCTCCCTGGAAAGCTCAGGTGTCTCAAGTCTTTTCAGTTGCCCTTCCTTGAACCAGCCATCCGTGATAAATAAGCTCATGACTTCCACGTTCTCTCTTTGTATTCTTTTCCAGAGCACAATCATTGTGGAGAAGACCGTACAGGACCTCATGAATCTGATGCATGACTTGAGTGCCTACTCAGACCAGTTCCTCAACATGGTGTGCGTGAAGCTCCAGGAGTACAAGTATACCTGTACAGTAGCCTACAGGTAGAGCTACTATTGGGAATAGAGGGAACCTTCCCATCATTGTGGTTGGTGGTATTGCTTTCTTAACCTAATGTTCTACTACTGTGGAGAACAACCATCCTCAAGTTCGTCAAGGGGCCTGATGAGAGCATAAGCTGTAGAAATAGCCTCCTAGACTCTAGTATCGTCAGCCGGACAAAGGGAATGGAAGGAAGAAAAGGACAGAGCTGCTTAGGACTGGCATGGGGTGACTTCAGTGAGGTGTCATGAAAAGCAGGCTAGATAATAAGCTTTGTCTTTCTCTAGGAAATCCCAGATCTTGACTGTGGATATGGAGTCCATCGTGATTCTCAGCAATCTCTAGCTCATAGTAACCCTAAATAATCTATAATATGTTGGGTTTTTTTTTTTTTTTTACTACTTCTTACAAATCTTTTTCTCCTGATGGTAGATCTGTAGCTTTTCTATTGTCATGAGAAGATGGTTACATCTGCTTTCAGCATCAGTGGAAATGGAAAACCATTGTTTAGAGCTTGAAAACCTTTTGCTTTCCCTCTGATTTCTTTTCTCTGGGTTCAAAATCTTTCTGGGTTGGTAGAAATGATCATAGCACTTCTTGTAAAAAGCTAAAAATAGGAACAAATTATGGTCTGGTTGACAAGACCTGAAACCATTAGGGAAGAAAAGAATGTATAATCAAATAGTACATCTATGTGATATATAATTAAGAATAGATAGGTATAGTACGTGAGTGGTACTACTTATACAATACAAAAGATAAGTATCTACAGTTCCATGAGCCAGTTTAAAAAAGCCCTGTTTTCTCATTGGGATATGGACTTGCACTCATTTTACTACTTTTGTTCATTGATTATTCATAAAAAGCAATATCATACTTAGTTTAAGCTCTTACATATAATCAATAATTATAATTGTGTACCAAATAATTATAAAGGCAATTTGAACAAAGTATGTTAAAATTTAGTCTTGTGGTAGCAAAGTTTAATGCAATAATTTGAATTATTTAGAATTTAATTTACACAATTTTTGCAGAGAAGTGCACTAAAGTAATAATGAAATGCCTTCAAGCATAAAGAGACATTCCATTAGCTAAAATTCACTGACATAATAATTAAAAGAAAAGTGAAAATATCCAACTGTTAAATTACTTATTCATATATATTTTAAATGTAAACTAGTAGGTAACAAATCTCTGTGGCATTGAGAATCCACTGGATACACTGATAACCTAATTTTAAAATGTCAACATTTATAATATTACAAAATTACATCTTTTGTAACTTGCAATTTATCCTTAATTTATATTGTCACCTTAAAAATGTGGGGAGGAGTTTTTCCAAATTTCTTTTTAAGAGATACACAAATGAAAAGTTTTAAAGCCATTGCCCTTGGCTAATCATCTAAAATGGAAATTTCTGGGCCGTAAAGTATTAATTTTCAATTTTTTAAAACCAGGCTTCAGAATGATTGTACCAATGTTTCATGTACCGGTGAAAATCAAACAACACATTGTAGATATTAAAATCTAAATGTACAAAAATTAAATATTCGCAAATCTTTTGCTATTTAATAACATAAAATTTTCTTTATTTTAATCTCCATTGAAATTTAAGCCATTTTTTTATAAAAAAAAAAAGCAAGTATGTCCTCTTTCTTATACTGCATTATGAAAATCCAATAATTTCTAACAAATAATACAGGTGAATTTTAATTATAATTGGAGACATTATTTAACCCACCCAAGATGAGTAAAATTGACTCTATAATCTAAATCCCACTCAGTCCTTTACCTATTACTGTAGTTCTTGTTATTTTGTTATAAATCTTTTTAAGTTAGTGTAGCTTTGCTTCTTAATTGTTGCAATTTTTCTTTTTCTCATCATTTATGGTCCTGCTTTTGAACCTATCAAGTGATGGGAAGCTCATAATGTCAACAAAGCCAACTGATCATTGTTGAAGTTTCTCATTTTGCAGTGCTGTTCCCCTGCTCACTGGCCATGGTCCTGTTTTTCCTAGAATGATTCCAGATCAGTTTAATCCTTATACATGGGACATTGGCTGTCACGGTCCATTTAGTCTTTATTTTTTCCTTTAGACTGAACACTCTGAGTCTCCAAAATGTCCTGGATATGCAAACTACCTCAGTCTTCTTGTGTTGCCCACTAGCTTGGCAGTGTCGATATGAAAATGAGAAACACTGACTGAATCCAGGGCCCAGAGCTGCCCTTTGTATTTTTGCAAGAAATGTGACTTTTCTTCTACAGAATTAGGTCTGGTCCCAGTACTTCTTATCACATCCTCCCATTGCACCTGTCAGGTAGCTATTGAGTATCTACCTGAACCAAGACCACTTTTGTGGGGACTAAGAAGTTAATCAGTCATGAGTAGCAACTTTAATGAGCTTACATTCTTGGTAGAGGATGGATAGGGAAATAGGGGACAAGGAGCTATGCCAAGGTTCTTTATGACACATGACACGGTTAGCGTGGCCAGTGATGACAAACTGCAGAGAAAGAAATTATCTAAGGAGAGCAAGAAAGACACAGTGAAGGCCATGAAATAGACCTTGTGAAGGTTGAGGAGGATTTAGATGTAGGAAGTTGGAGGAAGGAAACACAGCAATGTCAGAGGTAGGAAAGAGGAAAAGGAAGAACAAACGATGCATGTTTGGGTTTTGAAAAGGAAGGCGAGCCAAAATAAAGAACGTTGAGCGCAAGGCTCAAGGGACTTGATCTTTTTAAATTGGGTTCTGGGGACTCACTAAAGGTGAATCAGCAGGGAGAAGCAAGAGCAGAACATACTTTAGGGAATGTTTCTGGACTTTGTATAAAGTGGATGGAAAGACCAGACTGTGGAGTTGGAAGGGAAAGCGAGAAGACTGGAGGAGAGAGAAAGGAGAGCCAGAAAAGGAGAGACCAAGAGACAGGAAGGCAGTAGACTCCTAGGATGGGCCTGGTAGGGTGTTAGAGAATAAGGAATGTAAGAAGAAATCCTAGTTGAAATTAGCCTTATATTTTCTATGTTGTGTTTTGGGAGATATTTTTTAGCTTAACTTCAATATCTCAGATTTATCCCTATATTTAATGTTATTTTTAGTTTATCATTTCACGCTATTGAGATATTTTTGAATCCTTATTCGGTCATCAAAAAATCTTAGCTATTTCTCTAAGTTTTATTACATTCTTAATTTTATAAGCAATCCTAGGTTGTTTTTTGTTGTTGTTGTTGTTGTTTTAATGCCATTAAAAAAAAAAAAGGTTCAACAGGAAGACTAAGTGGAGAATCATGAGACTTCCTTTGAGCGTAACATTCATTATGTCTGTCACTTCCAGAGTGCATGTGTTTGTCTGGTGATGAACATATCTACCAGATATGTTACTATGAATATTACTCAGACTCTCTGGGCCTTAATTTTCTCATCTGCAAAAAGGGATAATAGATAGTTCTGTGCTCATAGGGTGGGTTTGAAATTTGAAGTCTTAGAAATGTTTTCAACAAAAGAGTAAGCTCCCTCCAAGTGATTAGCTTGGACAACAGTGCTGATAACCATTCCTGACAGTGTTCCCTGCAATTCCTCATTTGCCTGTAAGAGCCTTGTTAAATTTCATGCTGGTGTCCTGCCAGGCCCTATCCTTTTTTTTTTTTTTTTAAAGATTTATTTATTCATACAAAACTGGGGTACAGGCCAGAGATGCGGAGGGTGAGAGGATTCACCAGGAACAGAGTGGGGAGCAGAACAGGCAGATTGACGAAGTACACTGCTGAGGGGAGCAGCAGGCGGGTCAGGCGAGGTCTGCCACGCCATATGGTCTCCTCCGGGGCAGGCGGGAATCGAACTCATGCGGAAGTGGCTCCAGCTTCTTAGTGCAGTGCTTTAACCCACTGCGCCACCAGGGAGGGCCCACCAGTCCTTATCCTTTTATACAGGTAAACGTCCCTTATGCCCCCCAGACGGATAGATACAAGCCAGTTAAAAACAATATTGGGTCCTCCTAGTCCTGCACTTTTAGGGGACACTGTTCCCCACTCTGTCAAACCTTTAGAACTCTTGTTTAGTAATCAAACCTTTAGAACTCTTGTGTTGGATGACTTACAGATTGACCATGGGAACAAGGTATCTTTGAGCTGAAGCCAAAGTTACCATTTCTTCACTCAAGTCTAGTAATTGCCTACTTAGACAAGGAAAAAGATCATGTGACTTGTTCTCGGTGAGATCATCCTGGTGCTAGTAAAGACTACTTCCTAATTGTTTACAACCCATCTTTAATACTTCCTTCTAGAATGTTGACTGTTCTTCCAAACTCATACATTTTCCTTCTTCTGAGCATCAGGACATGTACTTTCCGGCGTTGCTCCTTTCCTGCCAGGACACGTCTGAAGTGATCAGCAGTGGTTCTCTGATTCTATGTTGGGAGTGATTTCAGCACCCTATGGTCCTTGCCTAAGTGTGTTAAACCTGCCAGAATATTCTTTCATCCCAGTAACTGTTGAGGCAATTGATTACTTTATCCGTAAAACAATTTATTTAGCTGGTTTGTGGGATTTCATTCACTCACCAAATGTTTACTGAATTCTCATAGATGAGTTTGTATGAATAGCAATCAACAAGACAGACAAAATACTGCTTTCATGGGGTTATATTCTGAGGGAGAGGAAAAGAAGAAATAGACAATAAAGGTAAAGAATTTCAGGTGTGAGTAAGTAGTATAGGAAAAAGAAATAGAGTGGGGTGAGTAGATTTTGCGAGTGTAGAAGGAGGTTGGGAGTTTAAATAGTATGCTCCAGGTGGAGCTTGTCAATTGAGGTTTGATGAAAGGCTTAAGAACTTGGAGAACCAAAGAAGTTATCTGTCATGAGTGCCCTGCAGAGGGCAAAGACTCTAGGCAAGAGAGTGGGTGACATTTTTTTCAGCAACAGCTGGGAGGTTGGTGTGGTTGGAGTAAAGTGAGCAAGGAAGAGATGTAGGAGCCTGGCCAAGAGGGGCCAGAGCTGAGTCACAT